ATATGCTCACGGAAGATTTCGGTGGAGGTTAGTACCACCTTTGATAGAATAGATCATAAAATAATTTAACTGGGGCTATATACAGTGAGCACGTAAATATTGAAACAAATTCATTAAAAGCTTGATATGGTCATTGGAAAAAAAGCTCAGACACGTCGATGGTCTCTTGCAGAAACGCATTTGTTGGTCTACTCATATTATGAATGAAATCTCTTTTACTTCTAGAAAATAAGGTTATGTAACTTGAGAGAAAATGAATGAAAAAATATGACGTTAATATTTCAGAAGGCATTATCAAAATAGTCAAGCTTAAAACAAATTTGTTCCAACTTCCAACGTTCACGTACTCACTATATAATATGTTTTCCAAATCCATGCAACTCTACTCTGATCTAGCTCTGACGTGTACCAGAAATGAATAAATAGTTGAAAGTGTTTTGTCAACTGCTATCGAGATTACATGGAACAAACGCCATATCAATAATAGCTCTGAAGGAAGTAACGGGTGTTTATAAAAATGTCTGAAAGATTTGATACGATGGTAAGTACGTGAAAATTATTACCTATATTCACGCAAGGATCAATAAATGCAGATTCAGGATGTTGGACAGATGGATTCGATCCATACTCCACGGTCGCCTTACCTTATTGAAGCTTGGTTTGTGACTGGGTAAGAACTAAATACAACCACCCTTCTTAATGAGAAAATAAGAAGCAGATACTTACTTTGTGGTATGTTCTCGTCAGACCCAAGATGAAGAAATGCATGGTTTCTACTAGATAGCCCCAGTCTTGTTACTTTGTACATTGCCGTTCTTGTGAATATCCCAGAGGAAAACTCAACCGAAAGTTCATCCCTTAGACTCTTTTAGACTACCCTGTACGAAAGATATCGACTTAAAGTTTAAAGTAACCAGGAAGCGTGCGTCTTCGGTAAGAGAGGAAGAGATACCTACTGTACGTGTAACATCTGATGGTTTTTTTTTGAGGGGTAGGGAGGAAATATAGTATGAATTGCACCGTCCCATATGAGGAATGATAATTAATCTAACATGTTTTAGTCCATTTACACTTAATAGAACAATCAGGCGAAAAAATGTGTATTTCGCGCGGATTGTCGGTATCGTAGGAAACTGCGCTGTCTGTCGGATGCTGGGTTCTGCACCCGACTCACCCTGCAGGCTACGACCCGGTCACCCCTGGAACAAAAAAGACAACTTTTGGAACTCAAACAGCAGCGACTGAAGGATGGAGGAAATATTTTCTTCAAGTTCACAAAGACCAATGATTAATAGATTCGACACAGAAGAATCCGAAAGTTGAAAATCTTGATTTTGAACACCCTATATCTCTGTAATCATCCCTGCTAGACCTTCCAGTGTGTATTGATGAATTCAGCTCTACAGGGAGAATCTAAAAATGCAATGAAATACAAAGTATTCTATTGAGATCAAAGTTGCTATGCTATTTTTTAGTGCAACACTGCATTGTCGAAAATATTTTAAACAAAGAACGCGTGATCTCAAATACAGGGTGAGTAATAATATTGGGACCAAGGCCGGATTTAGAAAATACGGCACCTATCGTGAATTCATAACACAGGTTATATTCGTTAAAGATAGGCCACAAAAGTAAACATAACTTCAACATTTAAATGTACATTTGTAAGTCAACAACAAAAGTACAAGTCAATATTAATTAAATCTTTTCTCTTCTTCAGATTATGTGTATAAATAAATCATTTTTTCAAATATGACATGTACTGCGAGTCATGTTAACTTCAGTCACTCTTGCTGATTGGTTTTCGTCTGAGCTTCTCCATAATGAAGGCGTTTATGATATTCTCATGGTTGACTTGTCTCAGAATGTCGTGTTCTATATGCTAAAAACAAGGCCAAACATTTTAGCCTGTCTTCTAACATAAATGTCCGGAGTCTGTTCTTGATCAGCTTCAGCTTGGAGACTGATGATCATTGTGCAGAGCAATTAGTCACCATCAAGGAATTCTCAACGCCACTTGAGTTGATGGGTTGATGCATCCAATGATATTATTTTGTATTTTTCTGTGGTGCTTGCCCCTATAGGCGCGCGCCTATGCTAAAATCCGGCCCTGATTGGGACATAGGCTAAGGGCGGATTGTTTGGAACAAAATATGGCAATAAGACCAAAGTGGACCACATATATGCTTTGATTAATGACATATTGCTGTGGAGAAAGATACAGGGCGTTTCAATCGAAAAAGTATTGACTATAAACTCGCATCAGAATTTATTCAATGACAAGAAATATAATTCACCAGCAACAATGATTATCTGACAGTCCAAAGCACACTCTTCATAAATGAAATTATATTTGAGATCCCCTTCCGAGACTTTTGAATTGTTCTATTGCGATTTTCTCGAAAACGGATGAAATATCGTTTTCAAACAGGATCACCAATATTACGTACAGGTTGTTTTTCTGTAGACAGCATTGGGGAGATGTCCATCAGACCTCATGAACCAACCCCCATCCATTACACCACTGCTCAAGATTGATAAACTAGGCAGGCCTCGTAACTTTTATCAGCATTTCAGCTGTTCAGCATACATGATATTGCCACGATGGATATATACAATAATCCCATTGTTTATTCTTCTCAATTAATCGTCATAATAATATTTTAAATCCAATGGCAATTATTATTAATTACTAATAATTTACACCCCAATGGAATTTCATGCACGTCTGTAAAATCTGAATGTTATAAAAGTTCGAAACTAACACAAGCCTCTTTAGCTCAGTGGCAGAGCACTGGTCTTGTAAACCAGGGGTCGTGAGTTCAATCCTCACAGGAGGCAGAGTCATATCTGACTTTTTTTAATTTTTTTCGTGGTGTTTCCTCTCAGTACCTTCTTGAATTGTCATACAAACTAGTTCGTGAGTTAGTTACAATTTCTCTCATGTTTTCGAATTAATATACCATATTATTTTCTCAAATATTTCTAAAGAGTATTGCTTATACCTGAGAATATTCTTACACGTTGATTCGGTGAATGTTAAATACTGTCTGTAGGTTAAATGTCTATTTTAGTTCTATTCTCATAATAGTTTATTTCCTCACATGATGAATGTTTTTCTCGATTCAGTATAATTTGAAATCTTACAGGTTCTACGGGTCGAATCAAAAAGATTGTACATTAACTTAGAGCAAGACATAGGGACATTCTGAGAATTTGAATACTCAAGTAGGTCTATCGATTTAAAATATTTTCAGCAAGGCAGCGTTGCCGTTTATACCAGAGTATGATAGCAATTGATATTTCAAATGGAACTCCCTGTATTTCATTGCATATTTAAATTCTCCTTGAAGAGCTGATTTCATCATACTTGCGGTCTAGCGGGGATGATATGATAGGGTGTTCAGAATCGAGATTTTTCAATTTTTGGATTTTTTTGTGTCGAAATTATTCATTATCGGTCAAAACGAATTTCATGTCCCTATCTCAACTTCTGATTTACTATCTACTGGCATTTAATTGGAACAGATACAGGGTGATCAGAATTCTGAATCTTGAACGGCCTGAATTTGTTCCAATTAAATGTCAGTATAATAAAAAGTTTCGACACAATGAAATCCTAAAGTTGAAAAATATCGATTTCGAATCGAGCTTAGCGAGGATATAGAAATTCAGCCAAGGCAGTCAATCTACTTTGCTGCCATGTGAAACATATTTTTTTTTCAAATGTTATAAATCCAATTTTGTGTAGGTAATTTTTCTATTGACAATTGCACACCTAACATTTTTGACCAACTTCAGATAACGTCGATTTCATTCTATAAGTTGATAAGTTTCTTGTAGAAAAATATATGTCAACCAACTTAAGCCAAATAAATTTGTGAAAAACTCTGCTTTGCTAGACGCTCCGCCTCACAAATGCAAAATTCGCTGGTCAAACAAAGTCACTTTCGATCCTAATAAAACAATCTACTATAGTTTTGGAGCGTATTCAATACAAACAAACGAAACTTTCCTCTTTTTGACCCATTAACGGCCAAGACACTACGAATTTCAAATTTTTTTTCAATTGTGGCTCAGTTGGAATCCACAAAGAAACAAGACTTCATTCAAAAAAATATAAATTCAATACATAAAAAAACAAGTGGGTGCGTAAGCGCACCTTTGGCCAAAAACGGTTATTAATATAATCTAATGAAAAAAACAATACCGAATACCTAGCCTATATATTCTCAAATGATAATTTTCCAAATAATCTGGGTAGAGATGCACTTTGCACTACACTGTTGAATGTTGATATCTCTCATTATTAAATGTACGACATTATCAAACCTAATGTCTGGTAGAGCTGATTTAGACTGTCTTCCATACATTGGGTTACATAAGTTGTGCCGCATCCATGGTATCACCAGTATTGCTAGATTGCCCTCTACATTTCTGTAGACTCAGTACTAGTTGTGAACGAAATTCAAGGCGTGAAATGTTTTATCAATTCGCAATACTATGAATTTTCAAACTGTCCATAACAATACTGTCGATCATATTGGTGAACAGCGGTCACCACCAATTATTTCCTCTGATCTCAATCCGATAGTTTGCGATGCCATTATCATGGAGGTCCACTGATCTCATATATTTCTTTCACTGGTGTTTAACATTTGGCTGGGGTATATGAACTCCTTTATGGTATTTTAGGCCAAAGGTGCGTATACGCACTGCACTATTGCTATATATGTATAGATATCCATCATGAAAAAATCAAAGGTTGATCCCGACCGTAACAATAAAATATTTCAGAAAAGTTGCGTTTACGCACCTTTGGCTGTTAATGGGTTTTAATATTGGTATAGATGAAACATCTATATCTAACCAGAAACCTAAGCCGCTCACCTACTGCTAGACGAACCACTCGTCCTTCTGCTGCCCGCCGCGGTCCGCGACGGCGGCGTCGACGTCCCCGACGCCCTCGCCGCCGCCGTTGGCCGGCGTCGCGGCGCGTCTCACTTTGCCTGGCAGTAGAGGCGGGCCCGGGCCGGCGCGCTGAGGCGGAACCCGATGGGGCCCGCAGGGTGGCGCCAGTTTCCCGACGGCGGCCGGTAGAGGACGCCGCCGCCGCTGGAGGTCAGCGTCGTGGTGCTGCCGCCGCCGCCCGTTAGCGGCTTGAGGGCGCCGTTCGAGCCGTACATCTGCTGGACTGCAACGAAAAATACAGTGTGACCAAAATAATGATAAACGAAGAGGCTGTTCTTATGTCAAGAAGTTCAAGGCAACCATTTCGAGCATCTTCTGAACTGATCTCACCTTATTTTCTTGAAATATGAATTTAAACGTCGATGTATTGAGTCAATTAATAAATGTTCCGATATTCTGTAGTAGATGGAGATATTGACTTTGTACTCTAGGGTTGTAAAGTATTCATCAGGAGCTTCAAAATGATGTATCACAAGACCCCCCTTTCCGTTTAATTTTCTTATCCCAGATGGAGCCTAGTCACCATCTTGAAATTTTCATCTGTCAATTCTACTCCAAAATATAGTATTTATCCACCAATTTCATCACCCCAAGTTTCAATTTTTTCAGTTGACCCGTTCAATAAATAACAGGGGAGGAGGATATTAAAGAAAAACACTGTATAGTGAATACAGTCTGTCCAAGATAAGGTTGCACAGCATGGGGATCTCGGAAACGGTAGGAGATACGAAGTCGGTTAAATGGGGAAAAAGTTGCCGAAAATTTTCAAAATTGTTTCAAGTTTTCCAGTTATATCGAAAAAAGTGAAATTTTAGAATATCTATTTTTTTTTCTCCGTTATAATTAGAGATACAGAAAAACTAAAAATACTTTTTCATAGCAACTTTTGATGACGTTTAACGTGGTGATACCGATTTTCTATGCGACGTTTCGTATTCGTAGAACCATCACCAACTTTTGTTTTTCAAATACGGTCCTGATAATTCTTTCACAGATTCTGAAAGCTTTTTTTATTCTGAATTCAACCATGTATTATACAAGGTGGTTTGAATGTATTTCGAACTATTTTTGGCCATCATCAATGTTTTTTTCGAAATTCCAAAGGAAAAATGCCGTCAGTTTCACTTATTTCTTATTATTCAGTGTCAAACATTGATGGACTAGTTATTCAATACTGAAAAGTGAAAAAAAAAATCCACTAAATTATTCAATGCAGCGCTTCGAATTGTTTATGCATTGTATTCATATTTTAATCCGAAGGAGCTTGTCATAATTAAATTTTTCGAACTAATTATTCCTATAAGTCTATCAATCGGAACTAGTTGATGAGTTATTAGTTTGTTGGCTAATTTTATTTCAAAATAAGTGGAACTGATGGCATTTTTCCTTTGGAATTACGAAAAAAACATTGATGATTGCTAAAAATAGTTCGAAACACATTCAAACCACCTTGTATAATACATGGTTGAATTCAGAATAAAAAAAGCTTTCAGAATCTGTGGAAGAATTATCAGGGCCGTATTTAAAAAACAAAAGTTGATGATGGTTCTACGAATACGAAACGTCGCATAGAAAAATCGGTATCACCACGTTAAACGTCATCAAAAGTTGCTATAGAAAAGTATTTTCAGTTTTCCTGTATCTCTAATAATAACGGAGAAAAAAAATAAAATAGAGATTCCAAAAATTCACTTTTTTCGATATAACTGAAAAACTAAGAAAATTTTTGAAAATTTTCGAAGGCTGTTGGTATGAGCCTCCGAATGCGCAACTTTTTCCCCATTTAACCGACTTCGTATCTCCTACCGTTTCCGAGATCCCCATGCTGTGCAACCTTATCTTGGACAGACTTCGGGTAACGGCAGTCGCGTGCGTGAAAGTATCACTTTCCGCACTTGTTAGGAAAATTACTATTTTAGAAAAACTAATAATTAATTTCCATATAGCAACTTTCGATGATTTTTAACGTGGTGATATTAATTTCTCTATGCGACCTTTCATATTCGTAAAACCATCGCATCAAATTATTATTTTCAGAGACGGTCCTGATTATGTGTTCGTTCACCGATTCTGTGAGATTTTTTCATTCTGAATGAAACATGAAACCATGTATTGAAAAAATTTGTTTGAATATGTTTCGTCCTACTTTTAGCCATGAATTTTTTTCTGAAATTTCAAAGGAAATATTATCAGTTCCACTTATACAGTGTCTTTCAAGAGGTTGGCATCAAATTGGAAAAACTTTCATCAATACATTTTTTTTAGTTCGACTTAGGCGTAAAGTTTTACTTTGAAAAAGAGGAAAAATTGCCAACTCGCTCGGGGTCACGTGACTTTCGCTACATGTTGAAAGACAATTTTTTTCAAATGAATCGCTGAAAATTGGCTCAATCTTCAAATTACTATCTATAAAAATATTCAAGTCGAAGAGTTTAGTATGAGAATCCATCTCCGCCGGACTGAGAATTCTTGAAAATCTCAGCTCGAAATTCGTCCATTTTATTGTCTAAATCAGTGCATGTCTGGATATGACTTTTCCACCCTCCGATACTCGCCTAATTGCTAAATTACTAATGCATGATTATAGATCGAGCGATTGCCATTGATTTACTCGATGTATCTAATCATTCTAATCGCATCACATGTCAAATTATTAATATTATTCAGACGAACAATCTAGCGTTGAGTGCTTTATTGAATACTAGTAATTGACTGAAACAAGTTTTTGTGACAGTCATGTGACTATAGAATCATTATATGGAAACTAACTGATTCATATAATTTCCATAAATTGTTGATTCATTACCAGAAGAACCAGAGAGTAAATGTATCTACTATCAATGTCAACTCAGACTGACAAATCGTCATTGGTATCTTTGGTGATGTTCCCAATAAACAACCCCCAGAATCCCTCCAAGAACTTGTGCGAGTAAAAATAATGGGGGATTTGAGTCTATACACGTGAAATCCAAACCAGTGTGGCTTTAGTACCGGTTCCCTAAAAAATCTCAGTACATTGTAACAAAGCATGCGGAGGTTGCGGTCGAGATTTACATCGATGACGAGCAGATCATACCTTTCAGTGTTGTTTTGAGAAAGTTCACTTTTTTCAATTTGAGGTTAGATCATCATGTTCATGTGAAATCACAGCTTTGAAAGTGTGTAATCAACTTATTACTTCATAAATATAATATATAATCAATTTTTGATGTCGTTCTAATAAAGAGATGCCTACTGGGAAATGTTAATAACATTTTTAGAACAGCACAGAACGTGGCCACGGCTACAGAGGATGATTTTCAGAGTCTAATGGTCGTGACATCAATACTGTGAATCAGGCCAAGCCAAGTAAATTCATTGGGGCTTGGCGAGTGAACTCCTGAGAAATGACGTAAGGTAGCATCTTTGCTATGATCCAGTTGCATAAAACCTCAATGCACAGAATATTTGAGATTCTGTATACCTATTCCCTTCATACTTTGACCTATCCACTAATAAGTGGGGTCTCAATGATTGTATCAGAAGACGAGTCAACATTTTGTTCAATCTAAACAGCCCAATAAATCATTTTTCAGACCTACTTCTGTTTCATAGTTCTTTACGTTGACGAATTAGATCCAAATTTCTTTCCTATCTCTAGCTGATGAAATACCATCTCGAACAATTAGAATTATTTTAATTTTTGTGTTGGGATTGAAAAATATTGAAATTCAATAACCCTAACTTTTGTGATGTCTTTGGGGCTATGGCCTTGGTGCTCGTTTCATTGGATCAAAATCTCATCTCATTTCGCCAAAAAACCGACTATTTCCAAAGTCGAATTCGATCGCGACTTGATCGAGAAATTCCCCCTGCTGGGTCGAGCTAGAAATCACTCGACCGTTCGACCACCGACCAGCAAAAATGGCAACACTGTTGGGACTTACGCGAATAGGAAGCGTTCTGCTGTTGGACGGCTCCGTTTCCGGCGCCTGCGCTGTTCCAGCCACGACGACAAATGCATATCGAAACGGCGACTATCAGCACCAGCAGTACCAGCAGAGTACTAATCACCACCACGACGAACCACGTCACTTCCAGGCCGAGGATGGTACCAGTCTCGTTGTCTGAAAAAAAATGAAGGAGAAAAATTTAGTAGCGTCACTATTGGCGAACACGATATTTAACAGATAACAGTATTTCCAACTATGTAAGGAACAACAAATTCATCTGACAGCGGAACAATGCGTCCCTGGCCTGCGCATAATCATGGTTTCAAAAAATTGACATGCATGAAATGGCGAATCTCGATGAGTATCTTGTCTCTGAGGTCTCCATCCTAAAGTACCCAAGTAGGTACAGAACGAATATAAATGTTCAAATTCAATATCTAAAGCCTAGAACATCTCAGGATCGAGATCGGATGAAGTATTGGGTGATGAAATATTCTGAACGACCTGAAGAATAATGGATGAGCTGTTCTAAATCCTCAACGTTTGACCTTGTACTTGTGTCTTATTCTTGCCTGTCAGTTAGTTCTTGAGTAGGTTTGCTACTTTCATAAGGTTCAATAATACTCGTTTATGTATACATAGGGTAAGGACCTCACACTCAAAGAAGAGTATCTTATGAAAGTATAATTAATTCATCTACTTGATCGCTTGATCTGCATGATGGTGTCTTCACCAGAACTATATAATAATTGTATAAATAAATACAAAAAACTCAAAGTCATATCCACACAATATTCATATTATGAACAACAATGGTAGATTTCGGGAGAAAAACAACTACTTCCCTGGCTAATGCCACGCAGGATATTGAATTACATCCTCCCGAAATCTATGCATCGACTCGTATAAACGAATACTGATACAAGTGATTTTTTCCTGATGTCAAAGAGTGAGTGAATGTGGCGTCACCCACCAGGCGGGTGGCTCTTCTCTGGATGGAATCTAAGAGCATCAGCGTATGTTTTGGTGCTGAACCCCATATGTGGGAACAGTATTCTAGAACAGGCCGTATCTGCGCTTTGTATATCATGAGGAGCTGTTGAGGTGTAAAGTAGCTTTTCGCACGGAAGGCGAGGCGATATCTCAAATATATAAAAAGGTACCTACTTTGACATAATGTAGTGGACGTTTCATCTGACCCATCTGCACAGTGGTTGATTCCATCACACACTAACTCTGTCGCTATACAAAATTCCCTAAGGTTGCAACGAAATTCAGTGCATGCGTGTTCTGGAAAGAAAAAAAAATTATTCATGATATGTTCGTAATCAAAACTCCAGATTTGATATGACATTCTACGCATCGTGACCCTTAAAAACTCTTTTAAGTCGAGTCAAACAAATTTCCATGGATATTTTTCCTTTAATAAAAGTGAAATATAATTTTCCGTCAAGCTGGCCGAGACAAAGCCCTAGCGGTAGAAGGAAACAGAAAACGTAATCGGAAAAACAATCGGGAAAACAATTCATCAGCGCGACATTCCGCGTTTTCCATTCCTCAGTATCATCTCTGGGATTGAATGAAAAGGCGAAACAATCCCCACAATAATAATGGCGTTTATGAAAATGAAAATGAAATGAACACTCGACTCGGTCTTTAGTCGCACAACGTTAGAAGTCGTTGACGAAAAGTCGAATCACGAAACAATTTTTTATATTTATTCCCGTGGAATAGCAAGTCCGATAAAATTTAGTAAACAAAAAATATCGCTGTAATACAGAGTAATGCAAAGTCAAAGCTGATGAATCTCAAAACCATGAAATATCATACAAATAATGAATTTCTTAAACATGATGTGTCAAACACAATAAAACTTCCAAGCAATGAAAATGTATAGATGAATATTCAAAACATATAGGGTAATATACAATAGAACTTCACATAGTATAGGATTCTCATGGTATATCTTTGAACCATGAAGTATCATTGCGATGAAGTTTCAAACCATTTAATGTTATTGAAGAATGAACGATATACAGTGAAGAGCGTATAGACTTATAGACAATGAATCTTCAAACGATAATGTGTCACAGACAGTTAAACTTCGAGGAAAAAGAGTTTTTGTTGAATCTTCGAAACAGGACGGGTATTGCTCGATTAACACAGTAGGGGGTCATAATATAGTACGAACCATAAAATCTGTGATATAATGTCATAGACGATGAAAAATTGAACAATGATAGGTATAATGATCCCTGCAGCGAAAATTATTCTTCTTTTGAGAACTATTAAATTTCCAATTTTAAAAACAGATTTTTTTGATTATCCTGTATTCTGTGTACACAATCATGGTATGAAGGCCTTTCGGCAGATCTCCACCATTTCTCAATTGGTAAATATGAAATAATTATGAACACAAAAATATGGGTAAATATCTCTCGTCTGAACAAAAGTTTCTTGTTATAGTTCCAATATCATTCACCAAATATTCAAATAATTCTAAATTTTGGTGGATGGACTTTCAGGAACTAGAGATACTCGGGTGTACCAATTGATAATTTCTATTTTTCAAGACGCTCAAAATTCATATGATTAAGGAGACTATTTCACTCATCACATCATCTGACCAATTACAAGCCAGAGGCTGTCAGTTTGACATAAAATATATATATGTCTGTACTTGTCAGAATGAATCACTCATTTATGATTAATGCTTTTTATGCTTCGTGAACGTGAAATAGTCTATCAAAATACCACTCTGTTCTGAATATCTTCTCATAATTTTGTCTTCCATTTTAGCCACACCACGAGTCCGTCAGTACAATTTCGTGAACAATGAAGCAACAGAATTATCTCGAATCTTCAGAACATCGTGATATTACTTATGAATAGAAAATGGTTTAATCGGTCATATTTACTTACTGGGATCTTTGACAGCTGTGATGACAAGCTTGAATCCATTTGAGTCAGTCCCCCATGCATCTGTGACGTATTTGAGGGTGACGTAGTTGGTACGAGTGAACATTGCTCCCAAGTTTTGTTTCGTGTTTTTGCAAGACAAGTCAAACTGAAAAAATACACATTATTAGAAAATAATCACAATGGTTTCGCAATAAGAGGGGTTGATTTTTATTGATTGTTATATAGTCATTATTTCATCCTATTTTACCCATTTCTGTAATCCAGAAACATCAGATTCACAGTTTTGGTGAGATAATCTGGTCTCATTTGCGATTTCGCCTCAGACTACATTGTCAATTTTTGGAAATTGTTTGAATAATTGTTTCTTCTAAACCATGCATTTATTCTTTCATAACTAATTTTCTTCACAACTCAGTGAACACTGATGATAGAATAGTATATTGTTTAACGAGCACGGAATGATAGTGATTTCCCACAAGAACAAAGTTTGCAGCATGAGCCGTAGGCTAATTCTGCAATCATTCGAGTGGTGAATTAGCATTAGGATTAGCACTATAATTTTTCTACGGCTGTAACAGATAACATCGGGATTTTTGATTTCTTCGTCTTGTAGCCATCTGATTTCCTGTCAAGTTTTGCTCATCTATTAGACAGTGCTGTCATTGCTTGCAATTTGACATTCCATTAGCGATTAGTTTTTTTTTTAAATAATAACACAATGGAGTCATTGTGATATCAGATACGGAAATGAAATTGATGACATACAAAGTACCCCATTGATGTATCGAACACAGTAAAACAAGAGCAATTTTGTGTTATAGCCGTAGAAAAAAATATTTTGCCTAAGCTTATACCTATCTGCAATGGTGAATAGGAGAAGTATCAGCAAAAAGCTGTTCTTCAACTCAACCTCATTCTATCCCTCATCCTATTGTACCCATTGCTGTAATCCAGGGACATCAGACTCATAGTGTTGGTGATATAAGCGGGTCTTTTTTTACGATTTTGCCTCAGACTACATTCTCAGTTTTGGAAATTGTTTGAATAATTGTGTTTCCTAAACTATGCATTCATTCATTCATTCATAATTCTATTTTCTATACAATTCTGTAAACACTAATGATATATATCGTTTTGATGAATTTCACGTCATTTGGAGGTATAAGCACCCCAGCTTAGCTAGTATACAGAGTAGACGCTAGATGAAGAAAAAAAAAAAATTGTTTTACTCAAGAAAATCACCTTGTATGTTCCAACGGCGTGTGCACCATCGTAAATATAGAGATGATCGTTACAGTCTAACTGAAGAAAATCGAATCGGAGCATGAATCTCTGTAGAATCGAGTGCGTCTGGAAAGTGTTGATGCAGTCCAGATTTCGTTCATTCTGGGACCACAGAAGAGCGCCATCTATCTTGCGGTAGAGGTTCTGGAGAAAGTGATTTTTGCAAAGCGATTGCATAGAATCTGAAACAAAAAAATATACTTGAAATATTCCGAAGGTCCATATATTTTTTTAATGAAATCAAATTGTAACTATATACATGTCAAATTTCATATATATCGTTCTATCAGATTGTACATCATACAGACTAGTAGAATTTCGTGCCATGAATAGTTCAATTTGCTTGGGATAATAGGTACCTACTGCTAAATAATGATGCATTTTTTACTGAAATAGACCCTTTCGATACAAAATTGAAAGAACACTACTGAAGCAGCCAAAATAGTACATTGTTTTATCAGGATCAAATGTGACACTTTGTTTGACAAGCGATATTTGCGTTTGTGAGGCAGAGCGACCGCGTAGCCGAGGAAAAAAGAGTCACTTTTGATCCAAATGGAACATGCGCTTTTTTTCTCCGCAATCGAAATAATTGTATTAAATAAGTGATGTAACCACTATTTTGAGTTTGATTTCGATCAGCAATCATCCGACACATTTTTAATTCCTATAGGAGTTAAACTTCAACTTTACCTCCTACACACTAAAAGTGTAGCTAGCAACATACATATACTAATCATTTTATTGTGTCAGTAAGAGGAATGTCAACTTCAAAAGCTAATTTTGGAACAAAAATGGACGACTTATGAGCAGATTGCCGAAAACATTTTTATGTGAATTCTTCATGACGGTTTTGAACGAATATGTCTATATTTTTTCTTCCTAGCAGGTTCTCTGAAGACGAGTGTATAAGTCTCAGCCGACTCGATATAAGTTTCATTGACCCCTAATAGAGTATGCAGAAATAAATGATAGTAGAACATACATAATCAGAATCAAATTCGATATTTTCATAAATTGAGCCGTGACCATCTAACATGCTAACTAGATTTGATTGCTAGTTTGCTCTCTCATTATGCCAATATTCTCAAAGGAATATCCATATATTGAGCTAGGTGGCCATCGCGCAGCCTAGTGACGAAGCAGAAAAATTGCATTTCCAGAATTCATAGAACCTTGCAACTTTCATACCAAAATGAAAAGTGCTTTGATAATATGCGGTGAATATGAACCACAGTGTCTCAAAAGAATTAGAATGTTCTTATGGTATACAATGGCTCGAAAATGGATTGTTCGATCAATTTGAATGAAAAATGTTATACATATAGCTGTTGGATGCATTTCTGATTTTCAGTGGATGAATAAAATGAATATATGAATTGCGTCTGTTTTTTCCGCAATAAAGCTTTTGAAAATTGATGACAATTCGTGAAGGTATACACGTTATGCTATCATGGAAAATGTGACTGCCGCGGCTGATAGTTCATAGACGAGTATAGCGATACAAGGAGTTCAGTCAAAGCAGTCAATCTACAATTACTGCCGTGTGAATCATATATTTTTTTCTCCAAATGTTACGAAACCAATTTTGTGTGATTTTTTTATTGATAACTCCATAATTTTTTGTTCAACCAATGTCAATGGTGGAACGTTGCATAGCACCAAATTTTTCCTGCCTAGTCAAAGAAAGTACACCTCTTTTGCCTGTTAAGTGTCAGAGAAAATCCAATTTTCATGCTACTTGGAGAAAAAAGCTATTACCTATTTGATTGAAATTTAATCAGAACGACAAAGAAACCTTCAGATGGCTTCAGGCACAATCCTTCAAGGTATACAGCCAAATTATATTCTGCAGTATTAATCGAACTGCTATACAAATCTTTATACAAACTTTACGATTCAATTATAAAGAGCGTTACTAACCATGAATTATTCGGAAGATTCTAATGAAGTTGGGGTGCACGTAATTGTTTCCCCCACGTAGATTTGCTTCGTCAAAATAATTTAGACACCGTGATGAACCGCTATCACTTGTATTTTATAGAGAACACATTTGGGAACATCGCATTCTGTGCGCGAATTCTAACAATTATGTCGTAATTTTTTTCTTTCCAACTTCCATGACCTTCTTTAAAGGAAAATGTACAATGCAATCAGTTTATCGATTCAAATCGCCTACTGAAATTATGCCTTTTCAATATCCGAATTGTAGTTTGGGTGTTGAATATCCAATTCTATATGAATGAATTAATGTGAAATATTATTTCCTTCTCGGTATATTCAATAAAAAACAACTACTTTCCTGGCCATATGCCACGACAAACATTGAATTATATCTGTTGAACACAAAAGACATAATACGTCCTGTATGATGAATATCAATTCGTCATACATCCAAAAACACTAACTTTATGATTTAAAAATCTCACACTCCTCAGTGTCTGAGGTGAAATTGCAAAATTGTTTGTTTGAAAAAAGTGAGGGCTGAAAGTATATTGTTTAATACACTTCTGAAGTAAAATTTGAATTTTTTCATATTATTTGTGAATTCAGCATCAAAATTGTAACCATTTCGGAAATAATAAAAAAACATCTTCAAGGGACCTATTTTTCAATTCATGTTCAGTCGAATATTCTCTCTTATTTTGGTGTATAGTATTTATTGAACGGTAATTTTGGTATATCCTGTATAGGATGAACTCTAGAAGAATCCATCGGCATTTTCCTGAAAAAGGGCCCCAAGAGTAATCGACCTTCACCATTTTTATCGCTAATTTCTCAGACGTCTCCTAATCCAATATCGCCTTCGTTCCAAAGTTCATCGTTACGCAAGTCTGGAGACTCATGTGATCTTCCGATATCCATCGATTACTGCCGCACCACAGAACTGGAACACAGAGGAGACGGAATTGTTCCTACCATCGACATATCCTACAATCTAGACCCCTATAATTATCCCAGCCACCCGAAAATCTCCTCAAAATTTGTCGCCTGAAAACGCTTCTGCTCAATGCGCATGCGCAGAATATCTAAACTAGGTGTCATCCATGATTCTCATTGAGATATTACATAGTACGGCTTGTTAACTCCAAAAAACGGTAGATACGGTCCCATCCGAAACATAAAACTTGGCGTGCATGTATATATCATGAAGGGTGAAGGGAAAAAACTAGGAATGTCACAATAACTTTGTTTTGAGATAATCGCATTTTACCAATTAAACATCGGATTACTTCCAAACTATTAATGTTAAAATAATGACGTGATTCGATATATAAAGTAAAAGTATATTCTCATATATTTCATGAGAATTGAAACAAACAACTGTATTCGTTATGCAGAAGTAAATAATAAATTCTCACAAGAACATATTAATTTGGAAAAAAAACGAGGAATGTCATACACAATCTGGAGGAAATAACAAGTTACCCAATGTTATCATTGATGAGGTAATTCTGTGAAGTAAATCTGTGCTTCAGGGCCACAAAATCTTTTCAGAGTCATCAAATTTTTGAATTTTTCTGCTGGAACTGGCAATAAATCTAGAATAAAAATTGAGAATGCATAAAAAAGCGTTACTTGAGATTAAAATCGAATTCACCTCTGTATGCTGGCAATGGAAGTTTGAATTCACCTTCTCGCAGATCATTGCTGACTTCAACGCGTTTCTTGGGAACTGTGATAGGCTTTTGCTCCCAGTTACCATGGTATGAAATTCTATAACTCATCAATCTCGAATGTTCCTCAGTTGTTTCGATTTCCCTGATAGTTTGTACTGGAAATGGACATTTTTTGACATATTCTTTACTGAAGAATGTATCCCACTATTGATGAATCACGTTGATTCCGAAGACAAAAAACTCTTGTTTACTTCTGATGCGGACGTGACTGACGATTAGATAGCAAAGACTGATTTAAATTGCAAAGAATTCGGGTTGTGTGTACCTGCTGATATTGACTCTCCTAGTTCTTTGAAATTTCCGGGCGGACATTCCCTGTTTTTAACCGTTCTACGATATTTCAAGGCATGTTTACTGATAGACTATACGAGTTTTTAGCAGACTTATGGGTAGAGAATATCAAGAACGAATCTGTCTTCGTAAAGCAATGCATATCTCAATTTCTGTAAAAATATGACATTCCTTGTTTTTTCCCATCACCCTTCCATGTACTATATGTTCCAATTGAGCATTTATTTCCAATAAACACAGAATAGGTGTACATTTAGCAATTGGCATAAGGAAAGATTAGAACGTAGAATAGATTTCGAAAAAGGGCTATCGGCGCCATATTGGTAGAAACAAAATCCTAATATTATTTTCCTCTTCTTTTCTGTGATTGTCCCCGGCATGTGGCCTGCACAATCCCCGCCCTAAACAAAAATATTCTTTGTTATGCTCTGGTATAACAAAAAATAAACTTCGCCCTTGTCTTCGTAAAAATCCTTTTTGTAAATTTTATTCTTGTAATAGTTCATAGAAGTGATAAAGATGATTGATTTTTTTATAATCATCATCAATTGTCTCATAAATCCAAAAAAGTCATGTAATACAGGGTGTTCTATTCAAAAATTCAAAGCAGAGTCATGAAAACGGACAACTTTCCTCTTTACATAACATATTCCCTTAAGTAATTTCATTATGATACACCGAATAATCGAGAAGTTATGCTTGTCTGATAGATTCGTTGACATCCGGTATATAGAACAAATATTTCGATATATCCCGACCAAATATTCCTTCCGGGTCCGTCGCGTATTGTTTTCTAAATGGAAAAGATTGAAGAGAAATTCGATTTATCTGTTTGGGTCCGGCAGTCTCAGAGGGATTCCCGGGGGTGGAATCTCTGAGGGAATTGGACAATCGGACAATAACGGTCAGAAGTCCGAACAAACATGGCTCATTAGTGGTAGGGCTGATTGATTTTTTTGTGCGTGGGATTCCGGAGGACGTGAAAATTCAATTTACTGTTATTCACTTCATGTCATAGAAGTTCAGAAGCATCATGATGACCAATAATATGAGATTGCAACTACAAAATAGCCAAAATGCTCAGTCATTTCCACTAATCGCTGCTTCTCCAGAGTACTGACAGTTCAAAAAACAACACTTTTTTGCAACCGACACAAAATACGTCCATTTCAATACCAAAATTGAACGTTCAACTTTAGCTCCTAGTAACTAA